TGCCTCCTGGTCTATCTCGCTCCAACTATCCCTCAGTGCCTTCTGGTTACGATGGTCCTAATATGGAGCCCAATCCGGCTCCCCCACCTGTTGGAATGCGATCTGGAATCGGTAGTGCAGGAGGTGGACTTGGTAGTAGGGGCGGTGACCCCGGCTCGGGGGGAGGTGTCGGAAACTCAGGCCCAGGTGATTACGCTCATAGGAGTTACGGCAGCTTCGGCGATTACAATTATGGCCCTCCAAGTGGCTGGTCTGAATCCTATTCTGACTGGTATGGCAGAGATACGCCGCAAACTGGGCGCACTGATGACTACGCCATTAGTGATGGAATGGGGCCATTCGGTGAGTCGGCTTCGCTTGTTTTATATTTATTCTCAATCCCTTTTGGAGCATTTGATTATTGATGTGAGTTAGATTTTAAAGTTACGCTCCTAATTAATTTTCAGGTATAATTATTGTCTTTTTTTAACTATTCCGTCGGGTCATAGTGTTCTATTCGGCCACTTCTGATATCCTACTTATAATCATATTCATATTTTAAACCTGTTTTGTTTATTCGAATTTTAGATAATTTTCATAAAATGATAATTGACTTCAATTAATTGTCAAATGCTGTTGGCTCATTCAATTTTATAATTTAGTTTCATAGATAAATATTTTGTACTTGTTCAACAATCCGATTGCAAAGTTTTGCGATCAGATATGGAAATTTTGACCTTTGCAAACTAAAAAATGGATTTAGACTTTATGCTAAAATCGCGTTTTCTCTTATGGCAGGCTATCTCATGCTTTTTTGCTTCTCAACTGCACTCCTCATAAATTAGATTCTAAATCTTATTACAATAGTTTATTTCTAAACCACATCAGTCGTTATCTAGTCACTGGAAAATTGGCCCTTGGGTTCAAAAATAATTTGGAGATATATGATAACGTCGAGTTGAAGTACAATCCTGCTAAAATGGTCAGCTAGAATCTGTCTAATTGTCTAAGATCTACTTTGCATTGTCCCTGTGGCAATGATGGCTGCTTAATTGTGTCTGTAGCTCTCGGCTCGAGAACTGTTCAGATTGCCTATTTCTTCTTTGTTGTATCTGGAGTTCTGACATTCTGAATTGTAAAGCATTAAGAGAATTAACATCACTGGGCTGTCTCCATTCCGGTTTAGAGTTGGGAAGCGTCAGGCGGCCTTCCAGACGAGAGTCTTCTATTGTTTACTGCTACAATTTTATTCTAATTATTTATCCCCATGTTACTCTGCTTCTTATTGGCATAAATAGGGATGATTTATCGTCTTTCAGTATAAAACTTTACATTTGAATTTGAATGTGTTTGCTGTATACACACTGTCTATTTCATTGACGCTATTGAACCAACCATTCT